AGGAAAATAAAAACACCAGACCCCAGGTCTGGAACTGCTCATTTGACTGGCCAAGTCGGGCACATCACAGGACCACTGTCCCTTTCCCACATGGCGTCACCTCTTAATACCCAAGCCTGCAATCATGGGTGCCAGCTTCCAGTCAGCATCCTCTCAGACTTTGGTTGGGGATTGGTCTTGGTTGGATCTTCTTAGGAGACTCAGGAAAAAGAACTCTGCTCAAGGGTTCCATCAAGCTTTCTTCCTCGTTTGGTTGAACTATGAGCTGCACCCCTTCTTCTGCCTCCCTAGGTGAGCCTGGTGGCAACACCCACACCTTTCGTACGTCTTGTATCCCTTCTTTTTACCTAAGATCTAATAAGATCTTAGTTTTTACATAGTATTTCTGCTCATGTCTCCTCAAATTGGAGGGATCCTGGAAGCTTTTCTTGCAGCATATATATTATTTATTTATTTATCTATTTTTACTGCTTGTTTACCTCTCATGTTGGCAACTTTGTCCAATTTACATCTCTCACAGTGTGCTGCAAAGCATATAACTTTGCCTGATTTTTTTTGTGAATTTTGGATGGATATCATGAAATTTTCATGTCAAACAGTAAGTCGGATAATGTGAACATTCCCAAAGAACCCCCTTAGTTTACCATGGAGGAGGGGGAGGAAGGCCAGGATGTTCCTGACCCCTTCCAGTCACTTTATTTTTCAGCCCTTTTTGACCTTTTATCTTGTATTTTTTTAATAATCAATCTTATCATTTGAGAGCTTTAAAAGATAAAGGTTGTTGTATTTTTGTATTACTCTGACAGTCTTGATTTGTTAAGAATTTAGCACTTGCATGCATTTACATCATACCTGGTACATGTATGTTATGGTGATATTTATTGAACAAAACCATGTTAATATTATATATATTCTTTAAAAAAATTAACCCAACCATATCAGTGCACCTTACAAGGTTTACACCTCGCTGGGTGTCTCATCCTCCAAAGGCAGTTCCCCTGCCCACTACTTTGGCCTTTAGGATGTTATTTTTTAGGATTATTCTTACTAGTACTGTGGCCATGGCTGTTCAAATATGAAATGTAAAGGAATCCTTGATTGCCCATATTAGTGGGTTGTTAAGGACCAAAAATTGGCCAAATGCTGCATTTGTAATAAACATGTCTAACTTGGCATGAATGTCTGGCTCCATGGCTTTTGATGTGCCTCACATTTTTTTTACATTTATTTATTTATTTATTTATTTATTTATTTATTTATTTATTTATTTATTTATACTGCTTGTTTACCTCTCATGTTGGCAATTTTGCAAAATTTGCATCTCTTGCAATGTGCTTTTAAGCCTATAACTTTGCCAGATTTTTCTGAATTAGAAAAGCAGCTTGTGAAATTTTAATGTCAAATGGTCAGTTGTATGATAAGAACATTCCCAATTTTTTTGTCTGAGTAATTAAACCTTCATTACAAATAGAACCCCCTTAGGGTATCATGGGGGGGGGTGGGGGTGGAGGAAGGCCAGGATGTTTCTGACCCTTTCCAGTCACTTTATTCTTCAGCCCTTTCTGACCTTTTATCTTGTAGTCAAACAATTATGTTTTCTTTTTAATGACCAGTCTTATCATTTGAGGGCTTCAAAAGACAAAAACATTGTTGAAATTCCTGTGTTGTATTTTTGCAATACTCATGCAGACAGTCTTGATTCATTAGGAATTTAGCACCTGTATGCATTTACATCATATCTGGTACATGTATGTATGTTAGGGTGATATTTATTGGACAAAGCATGTTAATATAAAAAGTTGACCTACCCATACTGGTTGTTCTTGGCATGTTGATACCTCACTGAGTATTCCAGCCTCCAAGGGCAGTTCCCCTGTCCACTAGTTTACCTTTCAATAGGTTATTTTTCAGGATGATTCTAACAGTGGCCATGGATGTTAAAAATGAAGTAGGAAAAGTAATCTTTGATTGCCTATATATCTTTTTTAGGGTTGAATCATGTCTTTAAATTAAGTTCCACTCTGTGTTGGAATTCTTATGCAGGAAAATATCTAGCTGGAGAGCTGGAAGGTATACTCTGTAAGAAATGAATGAAGGTATAAATCAATATTTACTTAAACGTAGAATTTTCTTTTTCAGTTTAAAAGAAAGTAACTTTCAACATAGTTCATTTTCTCATTTTGATAAAAAAAGATTATGCCAACATTTTGTGGCTTCACAAATTTCCATTCCACATTTGAAGCTTTGGGCAGGAGCACCTCTGCCCTCAGAGAAGAGACACTCAAGTAATTGTGTATTGCTAGGTTCACACCACAGTGGGTATCCCAGCCTCCTAGGACAGTCCCCTTACCAAACACCTCCAGCTGTCACATTATCTGGAAATAAATTATTTATTATTACATCAGTTTTTATCATTTATTTTTCAGACAGTTTTTTTTGCAAAACAATAAATCATATGACCAGTAAGGTATATATAATGATGTGCTGGTGTTGGACATTTCTTCCTAAGGTGAGTCAGGCTATTCTAGGGATGCCTGTCTCTACTTCTTTGCCGTTAGCAAGTTTTATATGAAACAAAGATACCCAAACTCCATCAATATATTTGTTAAAAAAGTTATGTTTTTATCATCATTGTTTAGGGGCGGTTGGATCATGCCTTAGTTTTAATTCTTCTTATCAAAATAACATAATCTAAGGCTTGGCCCCTGGGAACGTGTGTTTTGACAGAACCTCTTGTTAAAAACTTTGAGGTTGCTTATGAGATGCTCGTGTTTTATTCATTTGTCCAACTTTCTTTTGGAATAATTTCTCTGCCCTTTACTGTTGCATAACTTGCATATTGGTCTTTGTATTAAAGGTTTTATAATCTTGAATTGCTGCTTTTTGGAAGGAGGGACTCATGGTTGACCATAGTTTCTTTCTTTTTCACCCATTTTTTTATTCTCTGATGGTTTTCTTTGAATTGCCCATTGCTGATAATACAAAATGTGAGGTATTGCTTAGTATAGTTTGAGTCAGATTTGTGTTCAAAATGGTTACAGAATTTGAAAATGGAAGTGATAATGTGTTTTTTTCCTCTTTGAATCTTCTTTTGTGAGGTTCCCTTTTGTTTATAAGGCAAGCATCACTTTTATTTAGTGGCATTTTTGAAAGATTACACTTCTGATAGCCATTTTACATTGTATGGGCCTGGTGTGTATTCCTTCTTCAATTAATTATTCATTGTGTTTGAATCAAGACAGATACAATTGTGGTCCCAAATTGACTGCAGTATTCTTTCCAAGAAAAAGTATGTATAAGTGGGTATATGTATGTAGCTAGTATATCATATATGTATGTGCATGTTTCATGAGTGCATTAAATGTGTAACTAATAATGTATGGACATTTCATAGGGCTCTGTCTTCAGTGCTGTTAACATCTGCTATGTTTTTGATATCGGCTGAAGAAAAAAGTTATATCAAATAGAAACTTAACATTCCATATCTGTGCATGTTCACATAGGATTCAGTATCACAGTTTGTTGGAGACACATTCAAAGAATTTAATGACTTTAAGATAAATATTCTTAAGTATGCTAAAGACTAGACTTTGTTTGAGCAAGGAGTTATCCTTGGTTTGAGCAACAAATGATTTTACTGAGATTCTTGTCTTACCCATCTCCTCAATACTTAGAGTCTTAACAAGTGTTACATTGTTGGTTTTGGTATCAACTGAAGGAACAGAATTGAATTAAATTTTCAACATTAAATATGTTCAATCTTTGCACAGCAAAAGCATTATTTTTTCAGTGTAATGTAAACTTGAAAAATTCTGGACATCTCAACAAGAGTTGTGGATTTCATAACAGCTTTATTCCCACTGCTTAAGTTTCTCCTTCTGTATCTACTGGTAACAAAGTTGGTCTGTCCATTAGCATTAAGCTCACTGCTCCGCCCGCAAGTAAACTCGTTTATCTTTACGCAGGAAGCAACTCTGCAATTTTTTAACTTTTAGATAATCAGAGTAAATTTTTATTTTTGATGATATTAATATCAAGATTTATTTTACAACCAAAACCTGCTGCCAATTTTTAGCATTAAGGAGAAATTTTATCTATAAATAAATTATAGTTTATTTTAGATCCTTGTTTAGTCTCATAGTCCTCATAGTTCTCTGTAAAACTGCCCTGTTTTGATGTTTTTATTATGTAGGGCTATCTCTATATATGGGTGAGACTTTAAGAAAATGTCTTGAAGTCATATCTTGCTTATGTGCTAGAGGTCGTTAAGTTTGAAAATGTAATAAAACGGGACATTTTTGATAAAGGCATGTAAAGATCAATGCATGGACAGCATGCTTAAATAAAAAATAAACGCAAAATACACCTTGAGCTTGATTGTTGATTTAAACAATTAAAATTGATACAATATTCTAAAATGTCTAAACTGATTTGCCAATGTGGATTTGAGACTATGGAAGGAAAAGTGTTTATGTAAAATTATTCCAGTTATGTATGTAGAAATACACAATTTACAGCAACAATGCAATTTTAAAAATAAAGATGTGTTTAATGACAACTCTGCATTTGAGATGTAGAAAATATATAACAGATCTTCCAAAACGCAACTATAAACTTTCAAAATGCTTGAAATTTTTTTTAAAGATTATTAACTCGAATTTATTTTGGATGATAGCAAAAGATGTACATGTAGTAAATTGATTCATACCTTTCTCAACTTGTTATTTCTTTTATTTCTGTCTGTTCTACTCAGTTCTATTCAAATAAATGGATACAGCTCATGACGTTGTATTTCATTACTGAATACCTTCATGTGCGTTAGGGGTGGGTTTGGGTAATTTTTCTGTCTCTTGGGATTGGGGGGGGGGGCACGGTTGCTCTGTATTACATGACAAAGGCTTAAGTTGAAATCGAGGCTTCCGTACAGAAAGTGATCAAGTATATATTATTATGTAATCTAGGTGAGTATTTTGGTGAGAGGTGTTCAGAAAGAACCGAGGTCAGTAAAAGATGGCGAAGAAAGTTTTGTGTCTCATTGCCACAATTTCCACGAAATGGTCAGAAATCTGGGACAGAAATTGGCATCGATCTGTTGTAAGTACTGTATAGATGATGGAAGATAACATTGGTTATTTGGCGTTAATGATATTAATAAAAAAATGGTGTAATTTGCAAATGAGGCATCATGTCGACATTTTTTCTTGGCGTCAACAATATATTGCCTTGAAAGTCCAAATTCAACTTGACGTTTAAATAGTTTATTTTCTGATATAATTTTCAGATGGAATGCATTTTCCAGTAAACAGGTGGTGAGAGATGTGCTCCAGCTGTGAACGCGTCTTCCGTCTTAAACAATGAAAGGACATTTTGGCAGGTAACTACATTTGTAGGTCTCGATTTGATTTTAAAAGATTCAAAATTCACTACCAATGTGTAGGTCTACATGTCGTGATTATTTTGTTCTTTTTCTCAAAGATCTTGAATTTTTTATTTTAAAAACTTCCTTGCAATAGATTATTTTAAAAAAATCACTTCTGTAAACTTATACGTAATCCGAGGGCCAGTATCTTATTCTAGCCTCCCTGACATGTGATTGTACAGACACAGAATGTTGTCACGTTAGAGTGTATGCACGGTGTAAAAGAATAGAAATGATATTGTTTGAATGTGCATGATTACATACGTGGACAAAATTACGTTATTATGTGCAAGTTACATAGAACGTGTTAGCTCAGGATATATATAAATTTGTATACTTTAGAAATTGAAAAGCGATTTGTTTAATATTACTATCGAAATTGGTTGATGTAAAATTAAAAACTGCTTTATTACACCAACACATAGACATTGTTTTGTAAAAGTGTTTATTGTTTGATTTCAGTGACTCGACCGTGCACACGGAGATTGAATACGTTCTCCATCAATGAGGTCATCAGACACGTGTTCCACAGCGGCTGCATCCATGTCAAGATTACATGTCGCATGTCAGAGTTCGTCTGCTAGTAAATTTGCTGGGTTAACATTTAATATGATAGTGTTATGATTGCTTTGGGTTGTAATGTTCGTCATCAGAACGTGTATCAAATGAAAAGTGGGATGTAAGGAATATTTTTCACGAAACGGATTAAGGCCGCGTTCACAACCAGTTGATCCGAAGACTTACTAGTTGAAACCTCCACTTCAAAGCAAGCCTGTATTCAACTGTTCGCCCCTGCTGGGCCGGTGCACGTGGGAGGGTAATCCATTGTCAAGTACGCGCCATATTTGATCCACGGACTAGATAGACGGTGGTTCAACTGGTTGTGAACTCGGTCTAATGTTTAAGAAAGCGTCTTTGAAAGTTGTAGAGTGTGTTCAATTGAAGAAAAAAGATCAAGATGTGCATCCACCAAAAATTAATAAATCGCTGTAATTTAAATAATTATGCTTCAGAAATTGCAGCATTATCAAACTGGCAGAATGTGTCATTAGTATTGCAGAACTGTCCACACGTATTGAAACGATCTTTACGAATTTGTTACAGAAAATGTTTTATTTTGGAATATTATATTCATTAAGGGGTCTATGTGGGACTGACATTCATCAGAAATTTTTACATTCTAATTTTTCGACAAATTCTTGACAAAGTCAAATCAATCATTTTAGCTAATTATTTAGAATAACGAGTACTCGATGAAGTTTTTAAGACTGTTAATTTCTGCCAAACTTCCAAAATAGAATGTGATACAATTTAAAGCGAAATTTTTAGGAAAGTTTTCACAACTAAAGAAGCTTTTTTTTTTTTTTTTTTTTGTAAATTTACTTATATTTAGACCAGCGGATTTTTGGCCAATTTTTTGAAAGTCAACGAAGTTACCTTTTTTATTCTTAGAATAGATATAAACAATTGTCACATTTCAATATATAAAAAAAGTTTATCCAAAAGTTTGTAGATCAGCGTTATGTTTAGGGTTGGCCTTTACCTAGTATTTTCTAAGTTTATTCTTTGGTTGAGATCAAAGGGTGATTGAAGAATAATTTCTTATCGGATGTCATTCCTGCATGTCCTGTGGAGTTGTAGTGCTGAGTGTCACTTGATCACTGAACACTGGAGACCAGTTTGAAGTTTATAACCATTGTCTTAGTATATGTGTCTTTTTTCCGTTTTTCGTTGCACATTATTGTTTAAAATGGCTGTGGTTGGAATTAGATTGTTAGTTGGCCATGTCATGATTATGACGTTTCTGATTTGCATGCAGTGCAAAATTCAGTTTTCGCTCAAAGTTGCGCAATGAAATACATATTTTAGATTTTCATGTGAAGTAAAGTTTGTGTTGGACATGAACAATATTTATCGATGAACAAAACAATCAGGAATTTTACAAAATTTGATTATTTTGACCACCTATTTTTGTTTTTTGAACATCAGCAAAACGACAGTGCTTGCATGTGGGTACATGGATAGGATGACGCTTAGATACAAGGTATACGGTATCTAAAACGGTGAACAGCATTAAGATACATATACTCTCTTCTATACTGACAGTCAATGAAAACGCATCATTAATTAATCAAATAATATTTTAAGGTCCTTTGGCACATTAAGAAAATAACAGTTTTCGTTTGAAATATGACCCATTATGCATATTGAATTTTCTATATCGATCACACTAGTGAATTAAGACATTTTTTGTGTTAATGTTGTTGGTATTATGTCTATCATAATATAACTCTTTTATAAATCAAAAGGCTACGCCGGCCAAGTAGAAACGTTCAAAATGCATAGAATCTCAACATGTTTTAGTAAAATAGAAAACCAGTTTTGTTTGTATGTAAAAGCTTTATTCACATTTCAAAGTACGTTTTATGAAATTGCTATTAATGTAGAAAAATATATTCCAACGTTTAGTACATTTTATGAAATTGCTATTAATGTAGAAAAAATATATTCCAAGTTTTATAATATTTTGTGTTATTCTGCTGTTACTTTTTGTATTCATTTGTGCAATAATAAATGTACTATATTGTTTTATGAACAAAATAAAAGTTATTTTCTTTAACTACAGAACCACCGACTACAGAACCACCGACTTTTACGTAGTCGAAATTATTTATTCTGGTTTATTTTTGCAAAAGGTAATTTGCTGGGACCCAGGAGCGCCAGGAATCGAACCTGAAACCTTCTGTCTGAGAGGCAAGCGCGTTACCTACTCCTCTAACTGTTCCCACCCACCCTCCTCGGTTAGACTTTCTTCTTATAGAAACCAAAGGAAAATCCTGAAAAGTCTTTCTAGAAAATTACCCAGTGATGTCCGAGAGCAGAAAAGAGAACCCCAACCCATTTATCTGCATAACTACATTTCTGAAAAATCTATAAAGTTTCGAATGTTTGAATATAATAAAGTAAACTAAGTTATTGAAATCTGCCTTAGGACTCACTCAAAAGTGTAACAAATTCAGACTATCTGCTTTAACAAATAAAACTATCAACTAAACTACTTATGTCTGATCTCGTTAATATTAAAGAAAATATTTCAGAAAAACCTTTTTCCTTTAAAAAACAACGCCGGATCCGGTATTCAGCCCACATTTAACCTCAGAAAACTCGAAAAGGACACCAACTCTGGACTAAGATTATCAAGTACACATAATGCTACAATTTGTCTAGAATTTCACAATTTGACTACATTTAAACGTTCCGAATCCGACGTTTTTGCTCTGTTTCAAACCATACGGTATTATAAGAATTATTTCAATAATGTTTTGCTATTTACTGAACGTAAATTGACCTGACATAGCACATGTAGAGAGTAAGCATGTTTCCACCTGCTGATCGACGTAAAAAGTAAGAGACAATTTTCAAATTTTAGCAGATTTTAAAAAATAGTATCAATTATTCTTTTATCTTTAGAAAGAATCTAGATTTGTTTAAAAAAAAACATCAGCGTCCCAGTTGCATTTTTACAAAGGTCATAGTGTACATACTACGAATCTCGACAGCAGAAAATTGGAAAATTAACAAGAACAAATTTATGAAATCGTGTATTCTAATCTCTTATCTGAGCACTTAAAGCAAAACCAACGTCAAAGGCACATAGTGAGCGCAGGACTCCTGTATGTAGCTAACATTTAATTTTCCTAGAAATTTGAACAATAAATCACCAAGGTATACGGTATCTAGAACAATCATCGTACTTTTGGCATCGGCGTTGGAAAAGAGTGTGCCCTGATGATAAAGGGAAATTGTTGAATTTCTCAGGATGTTATTTTCTAGGTAAAGGTATAACGCGCACTATGTGCCTTTGATTTGAAATTAAAACCCATGTTTTCGAAGAGAGAGAAATTCCCAGTTTGTCATTAATTTTTATTGGATAAAATTACACATTTTTAGAAAATATAGCTCACAAGACATAAGCAAAAACAATATTATTCAATGTAATATTGCCAATATTTAATAAATTTTAACTGGACAAATCAGAGAAGAATTTCATCAGCTGTATTATATGTTATAAGAATGAAGTAACTTTCTTCAATCAATAGCTTAATATTGAAATCAGGGAATGAGGCTATCCAGGTGAGTAATGATGAATGTTCTGTTAGACATCAAAATATTGGAAGTAAAGGTAAACTATTTCAATATTAAGCTGTTGATTGAAGAAAAATTACTTCACTCTTTACTGGATAGAGGAATATATTTTCTTAAAGATATTTGCAAACAAGTTTTATAACTACCTATTTTCCTACATATACTATCTCTCTCCTTCTCAAAAAGATTGAAAAAAATGACACACGCAAAATGTTTAATTTTACTCCTACGACTATATCTACTAACGCAGTCCGATTACCATGAAGTGCATATTAGATATGAAGAGCTGGCGAAAATGTGGAGGAAGCAAAATGGGGAAAATGTTGGGTTATTTCCAAAACCTGTTTTAAACATTCAGGCATAAAAAATGAATCACAAATAATTTGTCATCAAATAACTAACATTGGTATCTTACAGCGTTGTACTAAATCGGTTGAAACTGATATTTTCGTATACTTAGTATCTGGACCGCCTCGCATCCACTCCCTGGTCACTCAGAACTGATGAAGACGTGACATCTCTTTCTGGAGTGTTGGTTACATATGATTCATGGGGGAGGAGGCAGGATATTTTGGACGCATTGTTTACTCAATTATCATCATTATCTGATAGGTGAACCTTCATTGACAATTTACTGCAATAAAAATGCATAGGACGCATTTGTTTTAGATATATTTCAAAACACGCCATTGATAAAATTAATCTCATACCCTAACACCCCCCACAATGAAACATTATTTACGTCACTGGTTATGATCAAATGCACGTTTTTTTATCTGAACAGAGTTTAGTATATGTGACCGACCTGATTGTACTATGACGTCATCTGCTGGAATCAGCAGACTAAAACTTTATAAACTTTAAATCATGTGATCATATCTGAATGTGCGATGTTGTAGTCTTCATTTACCTTCACAATGACAGATAAACTTGCGAATATGTGTGTGTGTGTGCGTGGAACCTGGTCATGATAACGAAGGCGTTTATTAAATTATCCCAGATTTTTACAGAATTTTGGCCAGTGGCAGGAAAGAAAGGTTGATTAGTTGAAGAAAAATACCACTTATTCCAGGAAAATCCGTGCAATAATTTAACACGTCAGCACAAACGCCGTGAAAATACGCTATGCCTATATTTTGCCGAAGGATTTTATTCAAATTGATTTTTTTTTTCACTTTGCATCATACAACCAGTTATCATAACGCCCGTCTGTACTGTCATGCACAAGTTATAACAGTTTTATTCTACCTCCCCAATATCCTCCTGTCATTTCATGCTGTCAATATTGACATATACAAGATTTCAACATATATCATACATCACATGATTCTTTCACATACAGCACTCGAATAACACATTTTATGTAATAAAAGAAATAAAATTCCATTCGTATCAAATATTTTTTTCATCGGGAATTGATATTTCAAATTGTAACGCCTGGCGTTTGGTGGAATACAGAAAAGGTGGTGATTATACGAGAAAGTTTGAAACAAGAGGAGGTGTGTTAATCTGTTAAACTGATTGCATTCAGCAGAGTTGGATTGATCTACATAGAACGAAATGGAATGAAAC